GCAAACATGGCTTAATGTCAGACGACATTAAAACAGCAAAGACAACATGGTAAGGAGTCCAGGGGGCTGAAAGGAGGAGACTCCCATTTCTGTGATGCCCTTTGCTGGCTGCTCAGTGGCTCAGATCTGCCATCATAGTACCAGAGCATTTATATCAGATCACCAGGACTGTAGATCATCACCCGATGGCCACAAGGCTCTGAGTGTTTCTGTGGATCAGGCCCTCAAGAACGGACACAATGATGTCACAGGCTCTCCTGACATCACCCTGAGGCACCTGCAGAACTTAGCTTCCATTTTCAGCTGAGCGCACCTCTGGGAAGTTAACACTCCTGCCCGTGGCTACACAACGCAGGATGCTTGACTCTAAGGCCATGTTCACAGCCACTTTGTTCTACCACAAGGCTGTCACCTGCCTTCTAGATGTCTCACCATCATTCAGAACTCACACCCAAGACACGCCCCTCCAAAGAGCCATTAGGCTCCTGAAGTCTTTGTTCTCTTCTGTTTTCTCTCCCACATCCATTGCTTCCTGAAGGAGGTACAAGCACTCACTTCCTTGTAGGTGAGAGAACAAGACCTAAGAACTCAGGTCGGAGTGAAGAGAGACTATAGGGGACACTCCTTTGTGTGGAGAAAGAACACAGGCTCACGACTGGAGCGAGGCTTTGGCTCACAGAGAGAGTTTTGCAACAAAGAGGCAGATGTTTTTAAATTCCTTAATCATAAATCATATTGGGACAACCATTCTTTTCTGTTTATTTGTTTGGGCTAAAAACATCTATGTGATTAGCTTTATTGTAACACAGTCTGCTTCGTGCTGTTTACCTGATGGCTGAAAACTATTTTCATTTGTTTAATTATTGGCTTCTAATTTGCTGAGTTTCTTTTTTTAATAGATCTGTGAGTTACATTCAGACAGCTTCTTATTCCTGGATTATCGCCCTCTGCGGTCTCCCTGGGGATCCGTTGTATATTCTCAGGGTTTCTGTTCCCTGCTTGGATGCCCATGCTGTGCCCACATTTGTGTATATGCAGCTCCCAAATACCGCTCTCCTTTGATGTCACCCTCACCCTTGGTGACACACTGCTTTTTAACAGCAAGAGGCCAGCAGAGGAGGGAGAGGAAACATAGTTTTTTAAAATGTAATTTTATTATTACTGTGGGTATGATGTACACATGTGGGTACATATGCCACAGTGTGTGCGTGCGTGCGTGTGTGTGTGTGCTTTCTCCTTCCACCTTTACATGGTTTCCAGGGATCAGACTCAGGTCTCCAGGTTTAAGTGGCAAGCACCCTTCTCTGCTGAGCCATCTTGCCAGCCTTAACTGTATTTTGAACAGCAGAAGGGCATTTTACAAGCATTCCCAATTTCCTTGCTTGTTGAAGTTATTCCGATTCATACAATATGTATCTAAGAAAAAAGCCAAAGAGTTCAATTTAAAGAATAGAAAAGGCTGGGGATGCCAAATCACAAAATCTAATTGGTTGCTTGTAAATGTGTCACTTCATAGCCCACACTGTCTCCCAGAGAAGCCTTTACGGAAGGTGTTGCCAGGTTCTCAACTGTCTTGATTTCCTTTCCCTCTAACTGGAGCACTGTCAGTGGGGAGGGGCTAGTTCACTTTGACCTGATACATTTTAAGAGGGCCCTTTGTCTGTGACTCTATCCCGGTGCCCAAGCCATTAGTGGTACTGCCCAAGCCATTAGTGGTACTGCCCAAGCCATTAGTGATTCCGCCCAAGCCATTAGTGGTACCGATGGCCCTGAATGAATGCAATCTCATTTGTCTTAATTAGGCTGGTATTTCCCAGGTGATAGATTCGCTGAGGACCCAGAGCATCTCAGCTGGATCCTGAGAGAAAAGTCTGCAATTCCTATTTCTACCCCAAGACTAAAAACATATATAGGAAAAAGTTTTGAAGAAATAATTTATTCCTGATATACATGTAATATATAACTTCTTTCCCAATTAAGCCAGCATAATGAAAATTAAATTATAAGACCGTTGATTTCAACAGAGCATGCATCTGATATATTTTGTGTATTTTAATTAGCAATTTAATTAAATTGTATTATTGTAACCCTACAGCCATATTTTAGAAGTACAACGATTGCAAACATGTCAGGGCAATATTTATAAGAAACTGGAAAACACGTTAAGATACCATTTCATACACCATGGTCTGTAGTGATCTCAGTTCAATTTTGTCCCCATATCTTATTCCAAGCAAGACTGATTTATAAAGCATGCTCTGCAATCCAGAACCAGATAGTGCTGGAGATAATTGCTTTGCCTGGTTAGAATTTAAGAGCAATTTCCTGAGGCACCACTTGTAAGAAGTGGAAGAACACACATTGGAGTGAGTGCAGGTCGGCTGTATACCGAAAGGAAAATCAGGCTTGTTACAGAGAGTTCACTTTGCACAATCACTCTAAATAACAGTCATATTACCCCTGATGATTCCAGAATCTCCCATAATGTGATTTTACTGTATGGATAAACAAACTCTTTTAAAAGTTTTTTAGACATAGGAAAGTCAAATAAATTACAGGCCAATTTCATAAAATATATTTACAAATATCAATGTTTTATCATCTAAAAGTAGGAGTCACTAAGTGCTAAACTAATATTTAGATTTCTTCTGAAAACCAATCTGTATTTTGTTTCACAGAAGAAAAGAATCATTGCTTACATTGCCAAGTATCTTTTTAGATTTATAACGTTTTAGGAGAACAGTGAAATTGTTAATACTGTTTAAGGTCATCTCTGAAAGAAACCCATTAAATTTTAAAGGGAAATTCGTTCTGAAGACACATAAGTCAACCCACAAAACGATCCTGGTTTTGCTGAAGATAGACCAGCACTAATACAGGTAATCACACTTTAGAAAACTGGGCTAGTATTTGCTTTATTTTTGGTTACATTTATCCCTACCTTAAAACTGATAATTTCCTATGAATGTTGGTGGAGCCAAATGAGTGAAGGCCTTGGGCCATTTAAAACAACGGCCAATTAATTGATTTCAGTTATTGCTTAGTTGACAAAAATCCATTCTTTACTCATTTAGCTTTGACTTATTTGCTAATATGATTTTTTTTTGTTTCAGTTGATCCAGCAATGCATAGTTAGAGAAAAATGTAAAAACTTAAATCTAGATATTAAAACCCTTAGCTATTTGGCACAGGAAAGATGTTGTTATAGTACAGTAGGTCTGGGAAGGAAAGCGGACCTGGGGAGATAACTCAGTCCACACAGCGCTCACCACTTTAGTGCAAGTTTCATCTCCAGAAGTCAAGCAAAAAACAAGCAAACAAAACCGAGGCGTGGTGGTGCGTTCTTGCAATCTCAGTGCTGAGGGGGTGACAGACAGAGACAGCCCCTAGAGGGGGTTTGCTGACCAACAAGTCTAGCCTGATCTGCAAGCCCCAGGCCAGTGAGAGACCCCATCTCAAAACAAAACACCCCCCAAACCACAAAACAAAATAAAACAAGAACAATGTAAAAAACCCCGATGGTGCTTGGTACCTGAGGAGGAGGGAGGAGGAGGGCACCTGATCTTGTCTTCTGGCCTTCATGTTCAAACACACACGTGTAATTATAAACACATGAACACACATATGCACATAAAACATCCCAATTAACAAAAGCTGTTTTCTTTCCTAGCTTAAGTAAATAAAAACATAGACAGGTATTTCTTATCTAAACTTTTATTAGAAGAAAAAAACCAAATATACAATGAAGTAACAACAAATTTTATTAAATATTAAACATTTAATCTATCAAAGGTATTTAGATAACGTGTTCCTGCGTAGCAGAAACATACCATCTACACAGTCCACCTGCCAGGCCTCATGCCAACTTTTTGGCATATAAGTAAAGTCACATTTTCAACAAACTCCATCATCCACAAGCTAATAGTAGCTTACTGTTGATAGATTCCCAAACCTTCCACTAATTATCATTAGGTGACTGGCATTCCTTTAGACTTACTGTAATAATGAGTTAGTAAACCGAACCAATTCTCCTTAAACTTAGCAGTATTCATAAAATTATTTAAAACCGAATTAAAGATTATTCCTATTTCTATTAGCACAATAAAAATATCAACATTATAGGGAAACAGATCATTTCATATAAAAGTTAGGGAAATACAGAACAGGCTTTGATGAACAAAGTCTTTTATAACAGAGCTGTTCAGCACCTTTAAGTGGTAAGTTTCTCTCTGTAACTCCTACAAGCTTCCCTTTCTGGTATGGGTAACACGCTGAGATACACTGAGTATTACACCTATTGTATTTTTAAGGAACTATGATAGAAAAGATTACATTTTCAAACTCTTTTAGTAAAAACAAAAAAAGAGAAATCCAACAAGTATATTTTCCAACTGTTTTTCTTGTGTACAACACACATTTGTGAATGTCCACTAGGCGCAAGGGGAATTGTTTATGTCACACAGAGTACTCTGATGGTGAGGGTATAAAAAGTAGAGAACTGACCAGTGGTGTCCAGTCAGTGAGCAAGGGGAAAAGCATGCAAGAGGCCTGGGCATCACTAAACATTGCAGGTTTTGATTTCTCGTAAACAAGGTTTGTAAACTTGCCCACAAGAGCTGAGTACTATTAAACAGCCAGCAAGGCACTTGGTCTGAGAACCTAGCAGTAAAGGCTGAGTGACTGGCAGCTGTCTAAGAAACCTTCCCTACTTAGACACAGCAACCACTGCAGCAGGGCCTTCGCCTAACTGGGTGACTGTAGGAAGGGCTTTCCTTTTTTAAAATCTCACTTTGCTTACCATATTTCCCTGCAGAGGAAGCCTTCAGTTGTAACCTTAAAAAATACATTAGGAGCTATGTATTTAAACCATGTGCCCTCCATTAATCTAATATTTAAAAGAATATGAACATATTCAGCAGTATTTTCAAAAACACCTAAGCCACTCTATTTTAAAAAATGAATTACAAAACGAAAGATCTTTGTATAAAAATGTTGCATGTTATTAACAATTCCCTTGCGACATCTGATGGCTTCACAGATTACAGTGTAGGCTTTGGTATAAGATGCAAACGCGAGCCAGCAAGGTCCTGGATCCAAGGGTCCCCCGAACCAAAGCCCTTAGGAAAGGAGTGGTGGATCGATTCAGCAAAGCAGGAGGACCAGCTGGCTCTCCTACTCCTTCTTATAGGTATCCTTCTCCAGCAAAACGTTCATCAGAGACGGAGTCACGAAATAGGGTCTTTCCAAAGAACCTTCGTTTCTTTCTAAATCTTCCACTAGGGGCAAGGAGGGCAGAGCATCAATAGTGCGGCAGGGGACGGGAAGAGAAACACCGCCACCTGCCGCCCGCCTGCCGCACAGCAACGCCAAGCACTTCAGACAGTATCTACATTATTGTAAACATAGCTATGGGAAAAATCAGCCCTTATTATTATTCATTGATAAACATTCTCTCATTCTGTGTCCCAGGTCATAGTCTGGCAGCACTGCACACCTTTCCGTGGAAAGGCAGAGGAAATAGCATTCGCCTTCTTTTATTTTTCCAGTTTACCTTCTAAATGACCACATTGGTTTCCAACGTGCCTTTATTTTACCATCAACAATCCGGATCGCACAACCTTGAAGAAACGACCCTCCTGTGTTATCTCAAATCCTACCACGGACGTATTTTGTGAAATATTACTTTAAATTTTTTAAGCTTTAATTGAAGTGTAAGAAAATGACCTCTGAATTTCTTCTCAAAAACAATACTCATTTTTACTCTGCTTCTTAATTACTCAAGAAGTAACAACACAGGGACCTTTTTCTGAGCAGCACCGCCCCATAATGCAGCAAAGTTGGCAGCTCACATCTGATTTATAGCAAACTTCCCTATTTTTATGTGCACCAAAATAAACTGGAACATCTTAGCCTGATCCCTGCAGTGACCCACAGCCAAGCACAGGACCTCTTAGGTAAGGCGTGGACCTTTGTAGCTACAAGCTCACCTGGAGAGAGCACCACTCCAGCAGGTCTTTGTTGAGACCCTTCTATTACTGATAAACAAAATATTAAAAATGGATTGAGAGGGATAAAGAGTTGATCTTCCCTACATTATGCTTAAGGAGAAGAGATGAAGAAGGCTTTTTTGCCAAGTGACACTTGAACTAAACAATCTCAAGAAAGTGAGCAAGAGCAAGCCAGGGGCTGTGTGGGCCAAGACTTTGAAAATCTTCCTGAATCATTGGCTTTAGCTAAGAAGCTGCTAGAAAGCCAGTTTGAATCTAGGTCCAAACACTTCAGGAAAAGGAAACAAATTAGTATTTATATTAATGTACAACACAATGATGTGTTTCTAACTCTCTTTGCACATGTGTGGACCCTATTCAGATCCACACACTCCTTTGTTAGCACAATCTGACACAAGCTTAGTGTTAAGGCCAAAAGGGCAAAGACTGACCCAGTGCTCTTTGAGAATGGTTTTTATAATTAGCCACATCACCCAGCTTGACACACAGGAGAAAGACAGGAAAGGTATCAGGGTCTGGTTCACACCTTTCTGCACTATGTAAGATTTAGGGATGGTTGCCATTGACCAGCTTCTAACCTAAGCCTTGGAGGGGAATAGTTCCCAGAATGAAACACCCCCCACCCACCCCATGAAAGCACCACAACGTGGCACCGGATGGAAGACCACAGGTCTATTTCTTTAGAGTGAAATCTTCAGTATCTTATCTGTTATCTTTCCTCTTGAAAGCTGAACTGAACTAAACCTTTTACAGAACAAAGTCACATAATCACTTTAGTCTAGAAAACACATACGTTTGCTCATGGAAAGAAAAGTCCACATGGACCCTCTACATGGTAGGATTGGGAAATTCAGGCGAGAAGCAAAAGATGTGAGCTACATAGCTATTTCAACTCTGTTCACAATATTTTCAGGCTGGCCAGAAGGTCATAGTATTGAAATTGATATTCCAAAGCTCAGATTTGGCTTCCATATAAATCTCGTTTCACTAAAGCAGAATGGACTGTGAAGGTCCACAGTCACTTTACCCAGAGGGGTTAGCTGTTGAGTCTGTGGGAGTCACACCCACATTTTTTTTACAGACTCAGTTCATTTACTGAAATATACCTTCTAGGGAACCAGGGATACAAGTTTAATCACAGTTTTAGAGAGCTGTCCACCAGCTTAAACAGTGTAGATAAAACCATAGCACCATATTTACAAATTTAGTACCATACGCTGGTTAACTACAACTCAGTATTTTTTATGGCTAGCTGATTACACATTTATAGTGTTTTCAAAAACTGCCTGAATATCCTTTACAAATACACACTTATAAAAAGAAAGGCTAGCAAGGTGCGGCAATGTGAGCAGCACGCTGAGTTATAAAAGTTAAAAAACACTATTAGCTACAGGCTTTTGCAGTTGCGACCACAGTCTGTAAAGTATATTACTTTCCAGAGGTCACCATCAAATGCCTGATGCCTCTCAAGGTACCAAGTGCTAACATTTTAGAAAGCACAAAACTTTCACACTGCTCCCAGGCCATGTGTCCACACTGCCGTCAACCTAATTTACAGAACTCGAACTTCAAAGTGAGCAGCGCTGCTTGGAGCTTTTCTACTGTACTTCGGGGGAACTGGGCGCTTCTTGGTCAGAATCCTGTGCAGGGTTGGGGTTATGAAGTACGGTTTCTCCGCAGACCCGTCATTTCTCTCCAGATCGTCACCTGTACCGCAGCAATCAAAGCAAAGGCAGGAAAAGGCAGCACAACGAGGCCCCGGGTTTTATCATTGCAGAGCGGAACAGGGAGAAACCAGAGAAACTGGTGTTAGAACGACAGATACAAAGCAAAACACTTGCAGCGCTGGAGATCGGGCAGACACGAACCTGCCTCTGCCAGGAAGCGCCGGGCACACCGGCCCCTTGGCGTCCGAAGAGGCTTATCTTTACGGTTGGAGCGCTAAGATGGCCCGTGGAATTTCTAAAGTGCTGCCTTTAAATCCTGTGACTGTTCTTTTCAGAAGCTTATAAATTGCCACATACCACAACTCCCTGTAAAACGTAGAATATAACAAATTCCAATTTAAAGTCTTTCACTTTTTGAGAAAGGGTCTTGCTATCTTGTCCAGACCGGCCTTGAACTGGCAACGCTTCTTGCTTCAGCCTCCCCAGTGCTGGTATTAAAGGCTAAACTCATTTTTTTGTTTATGTATTTGTGGTGTGTGTGTGTGTGTGTGTGTGTGTGTGTAGGTGTAGGTGTGAAGGCCAGAGGTCAACCTTAGGTATCATTCTTCAGAGCCCCTGCGGAGCTTGCTCATTAGACAAGGCTGGCTAGTGAGCTCCAGGAAGCCACATGGCTCTGCCTCCCCATCTGGGATTACAAAATGCACAGCCATGTCCAGCCTTTTACATGGATTCTGGAGATTGAACTCAGGTCTTCATGCCTACATGGCCAGTACTGTACTGACTAAGCCATCGCCCTAACCTTAAAGGCACTGTGATTTTATTAGTGTGCATGCATGTGTGTGCGTGTGTGTGTGCAAGTGTATGGTATATGTGTGTTTATCCTGTGTGTGGTATGTGCGTAAGGTATATGTGTATGATGTATGTGTATGGTGTGCATATGGTATATGTATATATGCTGTGTGTATGGTGTGCAAGTGTATGGTATATGTGTGTTTATCCTGTGTGTGGTATGTGCGTATGGTATATGTGTATGATGTATGTGTATGGTGTGTATATGGTATATGTATATATGCTGTGTGTATGCAAGTATATGGTGTGTGTTTATACTGTGTGTGGCATGTCTTTATGACGTATGTGTATGGTGTATATATGGTATATGTGTATATGCTGTGTGTATGGCGTGTGTGTGTATGCAAGTATATGGTGTGTGTTTATACTGTGTGTGGCATGTCTTTATGATGTATGTGTATGGTGTATATATGGTATATGTGTATATGCTGTGTGTTTGGTGTATGTGTATGTGTGTGTGTGGTATGTGTATGTGGGGTGTATGTACCACCAGCACAAGTATGTAGGTTAGAGGACAGCTTGGTGGAGTCACTTCTCTCATTCACCTTTATGTGGGATCAAATCAGGTGCCAGGATCATGGGACAAACACTTTTCATGAGCTATCTCCCATCGTATAACACATTTTTTTTAAAAAAAAAAAAGAGATTTATTTTTTATTATGTGTATGTGTCTAGGGTGTGGTGTGCACATGTGAATACAGGTGCCTGAGGACAGAAGAGGGTGTCAGATGCCCTCAGAGCTGCAGACGGTTGTGACATGGGTGCTAGGAATTAAACCTGCGTCTTCTGCAAGTGTTTGCACCCAACTGCTGAGCCATCTCGCTAACTCTGAATTAATTTTAAACAGTAGTGCACACTCTAATGTTAAGATGAAGGAGCTGAGGAGGGGGTGACTCTGCTAACATGGAGGCACAAGAGCAGAGACAGGCGTGAGGGCGCCGTCCTGACATCCTCTGTTCTCATCCTGCGGACACTGCCGGCCTCGGATTGTGCCCAAACACGGCACCAGTTCCTCACCTCTTCAGCGTGCCACTTTCTCTCCCTGCTCGCCTTTTATTAAAATGGTAACGACTTCACTGACCCACCTGATTGGTACTCGGGGGTCAGCACCAGAGTTACACTGAGAAGCAAGGAGAGGTGTCTGTGGAATTAAGTTTCCTGCAAATATGATTCACAGCAAATAGTGTCCATGTTTCTGAAGAGTGGACGGACTGCCGGCTTAGTCAGTTTTCACATGGCAGACACTGACCATTGACAGTGTTTCTTCCTAACTAACTCCTAACACTGAGTGTGTGCACCCTGGAGGCACAGCCAGGATACCTGGTCTGGATCACACTAATAATCACCTATAACTGTCTTTTTTTTGGAGGAGAATTTTCAGTGCCTTGTAGTATTTAAAAGATGATATATTTCTATTAAATATTTGTAAATGGTTGGTTGACTTTTCAAAAAAAATTTCCAAAAATTTTTGGCAGTAAGATATCAGGTATAAAAAGATATATTTTTTAAAAAGTGGGTCTTGGGGGATGGCACAGTTAGTGCTCACTATGTGAGTATGAGGACCAGGGTTTGGACTCTCGGCATTGATGTATAAAGGTGGGAATGGTGGCAAGTGTCTGTAATCCCAGCACGGGGGAGAGGCCGGCAGATCTTTGGGGCTTGCTGACCAGTCAAAATAGCTAAAGAGGGGAGCCCCAGGTTCAGCGAGAGTGTCTCAGAAAATAAGGCAGAGGAGAGTGGAGGCAGACACCAGACACCAGTGTCTGGTCTCAGAATTTGGTCTAAGATATCAGTGAAGAAGAAGGTTTTCCAAAGTGTGATGTTTCACATCACAAGGGAGAGATAGCCTTTACTGTATGGCCACACTTGTTCTGTTATCAGAGACAAGAAGCTCTTCATGCTAGCAGACAATGCATTGCACATGTAAGATTCTGGACACTAGGATTAGGAGCACATGGTACATGGGCACTCACGAGGTCCCCAGCCTCTCTGCACCCCCACTCTGACACTGGAAGTGGGCGAAGGGAGCTTCTATGTCACACAGATTAGGAGAGTTAACACACTGTAAGTGATCTGGCAGGGCTCCACTTACCTCTCCCACCTACTTCCCCTTTCAGGTAGTTTCCATAAATGTGGTTGGGAAATCCATTGCCCAAATTTCAAATGAATATTATTAGTCTAAGCTTCCAAAGACCGGAAACTAGCATATCCTAGATGTTTCCAGACATAAATGTGGAGAAATACTTTCAGTTACAGAGTGAGGACGATCACAGAGGGATCTCCATGGTGGCTTCTGTGATGAGCATCGAGGATGAAAGCAGAGATCTCTGGGCACTGCAGAGTCTCATCCTGCCACATTTGAGACACCACCGCACTTCCATGCTCCCCCATCCCAGAACCAAATTGGGCTTTGTTCCTGCAGTATTTTATTTTTTAATTCTTATTACATTTATTCATTTGTGTTTGTGTGCATGCATGCGCCATGCACCATGGCACACATAACTCCTTCCTCCATGTGGGTCTTGGGGATGGAACTGGGCTGTCAGGTTTGGCAGCAAGTGCATTTGCCAGGTCAGCCATCTTCCCAGCCCAGTCCCCATGGCATTTTCTAACCTTTGTTAAAGTAAAACAGAGACCCTCGGAAAAGATTCAACCTCCCGTTTCTGCAACCAGTATATAACATTCTCTAATTTCTTAGTCTACTTATTGAAAATTGATTTTAAAACTTTTAGAAAAAAAGAACAGACCACATTATTTTTCTAGAAGATTTTCTTTGCATATATCTCCTCAAAGCAATTATCTCCTCTCTGACTTTACCATAAAGTTGGTGTTACTGGTTACTTTAAAAAATAAACTAAGAGTCTTATCCAAGTGGACTGCTCAGTGCCGACACTGTAAAAGAAGGTGTCTCTGCTTCTCTGAAGAGTCATGTGTCAGAGAGACAATCTCTCTGGTACTGTGGTCTGGCTAACAGGTTCTGCTCCTCCACCTGCTGACCCTGCTTTCTGCAGGTTTGCCAGAGACGTCATGAGAGAGAGGAGCGGATCCAAGCCTTGGGGTGAGGCAGACTCTGCTGGCTGTTTTAGGTGCTGATACGAAATACCCATTGTACGTGTGCAAGTTGCACCTACCCTGCAGGGCCCAGTGTGTAAGACACTGACAAGAGCTGTAGAGAAGTGCTTGAATGCTGTCTCTACATGGGTCCAGACACCTCCTGGCCACACTCAAAGCCTGTCTTAGCATCATGCTTTACTGTGTGAACTGACCACCCCATGTCTCTTTGAAACCACTGGCATCTTGCCTTTACCAGAGTTCCTAAGCAATCCCCTCAAATAATTCCTCCTCAAATAATTCCTACAGCCACACTAGGGAGATAGCTCAGTAGCAGAGTACATCTCTAGCCTGGGCAAGGCCTTGGGTCTAATCCGCTGCACTACTCCCTCTCTGTCTCTGTCTCTGTCTTTGTCTCTCTCTCTGTCTCTGTCTCTGTCTCTGTCTCTCTCTCTCTCTCTCTCTCTCTCTCACACACACACACACACACACACAACAAAGAATTAAAGATCACCTAGGAAATAATGTTTCCTCCTCATCAATACTGTTTAGCATTTGAAGCTGGGAAATAGGGAATCCCAAGCAGGGTGAGGTGAGTCTTCACCTTGTCTTTCAGTTATCCAGAGAGGGGTAAACATGCATGCCGAATACTTACAGAAACAGATGAAAATGGTTTCAATACACATTGAATAGACACTGAAGAACCCATGTGCAATCAGGTAGGATCCACACACAATAGTCTATGAACAGAGAAGAGAACCAAGATGTCATTGTCCTGCCCTAAGAACAATAATGCAAGAGCACAGGAAAGGCAAGATTCAGAAGCTTTGCGGGACTCTGCTGGGAGCATTTGCAACATAGGGCCACCCCAGTTTGATGATAATGCTCTGTCTTGAGATTTAAAAGGCATGCACTGGCTTACCTGACTTCTTACCACTGTTCCCAATATCTACCCACAGTACCTTAAAGATTCTGCACATCAAAGTGATAGAGCCTAAGGGGTTAAACATATTCACAAGGTTCTCAATCTCTCTGAACCTTTGCTATGACATTGGCAGTAGGCAAAAGGGACATTTATGTCATATGGATTAAGAGTGTTAATACATTGTAATAGATCTGGCAGGTCTACCTACCTATCCCCCAACCCCCTCTTGCTTTGTCCAACCCCTGTGGTTGGGAATGCTGGCTGCAGAACCCTTAGATGCTTCTCTGCATAGGAATCATCCTCCCCGCAGGGAACCACTTCATTCAAGGTTAGACTCCTACCTGGGGGCGGGGGCGGGGGGTCAGCTCAGGCTGAAAACGGCCTGATGTGCTTCACAGGGCCAGTCCCTTTTCCAAAAGGTTCTGTCATTGTATGTCTACGGACATAGCAGTAATTGCATCATGGGTCAACTTCTTCACTGCCCAGCCGTCCTCAATTCCTTATAAACATACCCAAGGAGAGAGCTTCCCAATGAACCTTTGGCACGTTATCCTTATGTGATGGTTAGTTTTTTTTCCAATTTGACACAAACTACAGTGGCCTGGGAAGAGGGACTCTCAACTAAGAAATTGCTTCCATCACACTGGCCTGTGGGCATTTTCTTGATAGTTAATTGATGTAGGAGGGCCCAGCCCACTATGGGCCGTACCACCCAGGTGGGCTTGAATTGTATAAGAAAACTAACTGAGCAAGCCAGGGGAAGCAAGCCAGTAAGCAACATTCCTAGTGGTCTCTGCTTCAGTTCCTGCCTTCAGTTTCCTGCCTTGAGTTCCTGCCCAGAGTTCTCTCAAGAAGGACGTCAACCTGCAAACTGTAAGATGAAATTAAGCCTTTCATCCACAAATTGCTTTTAGTCTGTGTTTCATCACAGCAATAGAAACCAAACTATAACATAAATTGGTGCCGGGAGTGGGGTATCGCTGTGACAGAACCATGATGTTTTGGGGGAAAGGATGTGAAAGAATTTTGGAACTTTGGAATAGAAAAGCCATTGAATGTTTAGAGCCTAATGAGCTGTTTGTGGGAGGTTGGAAGTGGATACTAAGAGAATGCAGATGACGGAGGCCTGGTCTGTGAGTTTCAGAGCAAAGTTTGAGAGTCCCCTAAAGACTCTCTCAGGGCTGTTCATATGCTACTCTTAATGAAGACTCTGTGGAAGTGAAACCCTCTGTGATTTACTGGGACAATGCTGGTCAGCCAGGGCTGAAAAATCAGCTGTGATTAACGAGAGACCAGCATCACTTAGGTGGAACCTTCTGGGACATATTTCCTCAGGGTCAGCACACAGGAGCTGTGGGAGGGGAAGGCTACATCGCCAGCTAGAGGCCAAACTTGGAAATGTGTAAGAGCCTCCCATATGGTACTGGTTTTGAAGGCATGAAAGGGTCTTGAAGAGCAGCTGAGGCTCGGCACCATGTGACAGGATTGGAGTCCTGGCAGAGAGCCCAGGGGAGTCCATTAGTGAAGGTGCTGCCTCAGCTGTAGTAGAGACCCCAGGATTGAAGGGGTCATGGAGAAAAGCAGCGGAGAGGCCAGGAGGCCACTGGTAAAGGTGTAGTCTCGGTCACAGTGGAGAGCCCAGCGTATTTGAGAAGTCAGGATCATGGCACGACCACCAAGGACAGCAGCAGGTGTGGGGCAGAGCTAGCCTAGCCTATGAGGCCAGCTGTGTTTACAGTCAATGGCAGACCTGGAGAAGAGGAGCTGTCCAGGCCTTTTGGAGCCAGGATACCATGAGTGAGTTGAACCTGGAAGACACTGAGCTACGCTGCTGCACGTTGACTTTGTTTATGTGCCCAGTTCTTCCTTTTGGAAATAAAGTATTTGGCTTGTTTTTGATTTTACAGAAGCCCAAAATTAAGGATTTTGGAAATTTTTTTGAGACAGGGTCTTACTATGTAGCCCTGACTTGCCTGTAACTTTCCAGGTAGGCCAGGCTATCCTTGAACTCACTCTTGCCTTTGCATCCCAAGTGTTGGGATTAAGATCTGTATTACCTCAGCCGGCAGACTGTGGATTTTTAGAGAGACATTGGACTTTTAAGTAATGGATTTTTGTCTGTTTGTTTTGAGACAGGGTCTACCTGTAGCCCCAGCTGGCCTGGAACTCACTATGTAGACCAGGCTGGCCTCAATCTCACAAAGATCTGCTTGCTTCTGCCTGTCCAGTGCTGGGATCAAAGGTGTTCACCACCATGCCTAGCATTGTAATAGATTTTTAAAAAGACTATGGGACTTTAAAAAGTTAGACTGGAGTCTAGTCAGCCTATCTAGGGGCTTCTGGGTACAAATGCTTGACCAGATAGGCCTTAACATATATGACAGAATGCACAAAATCTGGTTAGAGGGCTATGGGGGCCCTTTGGATGGGAAAGGGTGACTAAATTTAATTAAGATCTATTATATAAAATGAACTCAATAAAAATATACATAAATAAAAAAGAGACTGAGTTTTATTTTGTGATACCAACACGAGAGCTTGGAGACAAAAAATGAAAGTGTTTGGTTTACAGTGATGTGCTTGTGTGTCGAGTTGACAGGGGTCAGTTATACTGGTTAGTTTTGTCAACCTGACATAAACTAAACTGACCAGGAAAAAGGGAACCTCATTGAAAGATTCCTTCCATCAGAACAGGTTCACCTATGGGCATGTCTGCGGCTCATTTTCTTGTTGCTGAATTGGTGTAGGTGGGCCCAGTATGCTGTGGGCAGTGCCACCCTTGGGCAGGTGGGCTTGAGCTGTATAAGCAAATCAGAGGGGGCAAGCCAGAAAGCAGTATTCCTCCATGGCCTCTGCTTCAGTTCCTGCCTTGAGTTCCTGCCCTGAATTCTCTCAATGACAGACCATGACTTAGAAAAGAGGCAACAAACCCTGTCCTCCCCAAGTTGACTTTAGTCAATGTTTTATCACAGAAAAAAAAAAAAAAAAAACAACCAAAAACCAAACTAGAACACCTTATCTGAACAGTCCTTTCCAAAGAACCCCACACCTGAAGGAGAGCGGGAGTGCCACAAAGTAAGACCCACGACCCACAGTGCAGGCTGTCTTTTTTTCCTGTTTCCTTCTTGTTTTCTTATTTTACCATCTCTCATAAATTATAAAGTCGCCAGCACTCAGCTTCTACGGGCTGCTTTTCTTACATTAAAGCCACAGCCTCCACTATAGTAGAATTGGAAGGTGAGGGTGATGGGAGGTAATTAGTTCATGAGGGTGGTACTGGGTCTAGGGAACTGCGCCTTTGCGAGAAGAAACTTGAAACAGACTATCTTTCCACCACACGTTGTAAGGAAGCAGTAAGGTACCTTCTGCCCAGCCAGTGTCTGAAACTGCATCAGTCAGGGGCTCCCGGCCTTCCAAATGGTGAGGAATACTTTCCGCTACAGAAGCTGCCCGCCCACCTGCCTGTGCTGTTCTTATTACAGTAGCCACAGCTGATGAAGTCACCAGTTCTTACCAGCAAGGGTACCCAGTAGTAATTTAAACTTGTTGGCCCTTCTATGATCTTCTGCAATCTCTCTGTGAAGAGCAAGAATGCCAGAATGCCTACGTTGAAAAAGCAGACACAAGTACCACACATTTAGAGGGCTTGTAGCTTTCTGGAGGAACACAGATGTCCTAAACATGTTTTCAACTTTGAATCAATGTGATTATTACTACTCACCTACAAAACCAGAAACTAGAATTTTTCCCAGGAATAATATAAAGTGTGTAACTTCATCTGTAACTGCGACTCTGAGTATCAGGAAAAAAAGAAGAAAAAAAAGTATAGTTTGGGGTTTGAATATGCTCGGTACTTGTGGGAGTTCACAACATGCTCACTCTGCTGTGTTTTTGCTGGAATTTTATTCGACAATTATTAAACATGAGCATGGAACCAATTCAACCACTACCCCTTCCACACCCCCAACACCTACTCCCCGACCCCACAGCCTGTAAATCCACTATACAAGCTAGCTGCAGGACTTGCCTCCTCTAGGGGTGTTATGTAAGTGGAAGGGAAAGAATGGGTTCTTTACTACTGTGCTTATTTCACTTACCATGATGCCTTCAAAACTGATCATTTAATTTTTTTCTTCTATTAGGTCTTTGACACTTTCCTACAATGCACTTTGACCATGTTCACCCTCCTCTCCCAGCTCCTCCCCCCACTTCCTTACACACCCAGCTTTAAAACTGTGGAGCCCAAGTTGTACTGTGCATATACTCTTGGGTGTGTGCCCAACCTCTGGAGCGTGATCAACCTACCAGGCACCGTGCTCTTAAAGCTAACTTCCCCCTCCCAACAGCTATCAGCTGCCAATGGCTCCTCAGCTAGAGTTAGACGTTATACCATGGCCTCCCTGGGACTTTTGTCTGACTTGAACTTGTGTGGGTCTTGTGCATACTGTCACAAGTGCTGTGAGCTCATCTGTGCACCTGTCCTGCTGTGTCTGAAAAACTGTTTCCTCATAGTCATCCACCACCTCTGGCTCCTTTGTTTCTGATGACCTACATAGACGGTGGCCCTGCAGGGCTGTGGCGCATACAGGCAAGGTGCCCAGCTCTCTCTGCTTTGAGACCTTTAGGCACCCAGATCCTGACCATCATGCATTTGCTCTCTGGTTCTGCATGCCCATTTTCCAGCAATTTTAAGAGAGGGGCGTGCCACTGAAAGATGATGGTCACCTGGAGAATTTGAGAACTGTGGTATTACCATGTAAACACCTAGGTGGATGAAGGGAGCCATGAGTCTAAGGTATAGAGAAATGACTGATGTGAGAGGGAAGATGTAAACCTATCAAATTGAAAGCTATGCTCAGGCCTAATAAGGCTGCCAACACGTCCAAGAACCACAGGGACAGGATGCAATGTCCAGTGTCACCAGTCTGTCTATCGCCATCTTCTGCCTGAATAAACATTTTATTTATTTATCTTTATCTATCTATTTATTTATTTTTATTTTATGTGTATGAGTGTACTGCCTGTATGTATGTAAGTGTACCTATGTCACACATGCCTACAGAGGCCAGAAGAGGGCATAAGATACCCCTGGAACTAAAGTTATGGATGGTTGTTAGCTGCCATTTGGGTGCTGGGAACTGAACCTGGATCCTCTGCAAGAGCAGCCAGTGCTCTTAACCACTGAGCCGTCTCTCCAGGCACTGATTACTTACTTTAAAATGTTTCTCATGAGCAGATTGAAGGCATCTTTTGTTGACTCGCAGAAGCTTTTGCCATACATTGCAATCTGGGGAAGACAGTCGATGGTCTTGTTAGTCTTGTTGGAAACATGCACTACCTAACATGACCCACGGCATGGATGGGGAAGTGTGAGTTCATTCCAGTCATCCACACTGGCACCCCTTGCTCTTTCCAACATTTGAGTTTGTGGGAGGCCCGGGATGCTCTGTGTCCTTAACCCCCCATAACTCACTGAGGTATTTACCATGTGCTGTATATAGAGGGGGTCTTTTTCTGAAGTCTCAGGTGAGAGATTCTATCTTTGAAATGTTTTGGCTATAATCTATTAAAAGGACTAAATAGTGTTATCACATAAAAAATCACTCCTAAGGAAATCCAATCCCTTCCACTACACTGGGTTTACTGATTAAAAGATTTAACACAATCCTCTCCCTGGAGGTAAATTAACTGAATCTTCGAGTCCCTGTATGACTGTCTGAACTGCTTCCAGGCCTTGCTTCATTGAAATGTTTTGGCTATAATCTATTAAAAGGACTAAATAGTGTTATCACATAAAAAATCACTCCTAAGGAAATCCAATCCCTTCCACTACACTGGGTTTACTGATTAAAAGATTTAACACAATCCTCTCCCTGGAGGTAAATTAACTGAATCTTCGAGTCCCTGTATGACTGTCTGAACTGCTTCCAGGCCTTGCTTCACTGTGAAGGTTAGCAAGTGTTGTAAGACTGCAGCTTACTTTTTTTTTTTTTTTATTTTTTTGACACAGGGTGGCC